AACCAAACTTACCCAGAATACCAATTGATCGAGTTCTTAAAAATATATTTGATAGCAAACTAAAGCTTCAAGAAAATTATAAACGATTTAAATTACACAAAAGCATGTTTGAAAAGTTTAAAACCAAGGCATAAAAGAGTTCTAACTAACATACACACATTTTTTAATGCAGCTCACATATGTAGAGAAATTCAAAACTAATAGTATAAACGATTATAATAGTATTATGATCTAATTATTATAATTACTAAGAACATTAACTATTGTTAATATGAATTAATATGTTTATCCACATTATAAATCGTGAATAAAATAAAACAAGCATTAAATTAGATTATGCATATAAAGATATATTTATATAATTATTGAGTATTAAATTAAGAGAACAATAATAGAATCACATGCGGTTCACATGTATATAAAAAAAAATTCCAAAATTACTTGTTACTCTTATAAATAATTACAACAAAGTTACTCCAAAATCGTACACATAACATATATTAATATATATCCCAAAAAATTATTCTAGAGTTACCCTAAACCACTCCAAACTACTTATAACTTTAAAGCTATTCTCCAAAATTTGGCCTTATATAAAGATATATACATATATTTGTGTGTGGTAATTTATGTCTATATTTGGACATCGTATTATAATTGAACAGAGAAATTACATTATGTATATATGTTCAAAGATGAAGAGGAGGACTTTAATATATCTGTATGTGCGTTGACGGTGATGCGGCAGGGCATAAGAAGGTGCAAGGAGGTGACACACAAATATATGTATTGTGCGTGTCAGCCAATGGCCTATGTGACAACGTGCCCTCAGGGATTTGGTTCATTGAGGCTGACAGGGCATTATATATGTTTATTTGATGGAGATGGAGGGAGAAAATGGATGAGAGGAAAATTAATTGGTGAGCATATGTTGATGGGAAGAAGATGGGAAGAAGACGCAGCAGAGGAGATGGAAAAAAGGGGAGAGAGAAAGCAAGGATGGAAATAAGAGGAAAGGCGGTGGCACTGACGTGAGAAAGTGAAAAAGATATATACTATCTAGTCTAGTTATTAATATAAGAGCTAGTTTGACTTTCAATTTGGTTCTAAATGTAAGACCTCAATTCACCTTGTCTCTCATATTTATCCACGTTTTTCAAAGTAGTCCTTGTAGTAGTTGCACATGTTAAATATTTTATCAAATGGTAATTCTATTCAATACACATTATTAGCAAGGGTATTTTAGGGAGGACAACACGTATTTGCTACAAATAACTAATTTAACAAATTTTATTAATATACTCAAATTAGCTAACAAACTTTTATATTAAGGACCCCAGGTAGTATATGTATATGCACACATCTATAGGTTTGCTTTAAATCGTTCAAAATAATTGTTTTATATTATTTTAAACATATCGTATTTACTTTCTAAAAATAAAATTGAGTTGTATTTATTTTAAGGCATCCAAGTATTAAAAATCTGATTACATTCAAATATTATCTAAATCATTTTTTTCAATCTTTCCAAATATTAAAAGCTTTTCTAATAATTATTTACCCAATATTATTTAAACCAATCTGAAGATAATATCCACCCACATATATATCTAAGATAATCATTTCAATGAGTTATTGTATTAGATATTCGTTTACATCCTTTCTAGTATCTTATTGATATGTAGAATAAATTTATTACATACTCTTTAAATATATACCTTATATCACAATTAACTCTTTAAATTAAAAAAAAAACGAGATGTTACATTTATAGTGCTTAACTCATTTTAACTAACATTTCAAACAACATGATTTGATTAATTGTGTCTTATAAAAAAAAAAAAGAGAATAGATATTTTTGTTAATAAATGCCCCCTCTTCCCAAACCGTCATCCGTCCCAGAATTTTATTATCAGATTATTGCCTCATCAATTTGGTTTTCTACAGCTGTCTCAGCCATTCTACGATTAAAACGTGCTTCATATTTTGTGGCAGCCAACTGTAAATATATATAATCCTCAATAAATGAAGATGACAACATACCAAAATGTACCGACAGAATTAAGTGAGAGCCTCATGAGCCGTACACGAACTATATATCCACGTCTTAGCTACTAACGTTCTCATTTATGGGAAGGGCATATTTACTTTGGTCCATAAAAAAAAGAAAGGTCATATATAACTAGCTAGGGACTACTAATTTATAAAATAAAAAATATCTTTTTGATTTTGGCTAATAATAGAAAAATTATTATTCTTTTTGTTTCTATTTACTTGTCACTTCTAACATATTTCACGTAAATTAAAAAAAAAACTTGCATTAGCTTTTCATTAAAATACACAACTCTTCAATTTTATCTTTATTTAATATATATACATTTATGCTAATATTTAGTGTCTGACAGTATCTCGAATGGGATTGCTTCCAATAGAAAGATATCTATGCCTATCTAAAAATATATATATATATATACACTTTAAAAAAAAAACTACATATATACTCTTTTAGTTCTATTTATAAGTTAAGGTACTTTCAACATGTTTCACACAAACTAAAAAAAATCTTAAACTACATTAACTTTTTATTAAAATATAACAACTTTTAAATTTTATCCTTATTTAATATATATATCTTTGAAAAAACTATAGTATCTATTCCTTTGTTTCCATTTATAAGGCACTTTCGAGATATGTTTCACATATACTAAGAAAAACTTTAAACCATATTAATTTTTCATTAAAATATAACTTTTTAACTTTACTTTTATTTAATATATACATCTTTAAGAAAAGAACAATCTTTCCTATAATAAATAAAAGACTAAATAGTACATTCATATTAAAAATTTACTAAAATGGCTTATAAATAGGACCAGTTGAGTATACTATAATAAATAAATGACAAAATAATATATTTATATTAAAAATTTAATAAAATGATTTATAGATAAGATTAAAAAAAAAATCTCTTTCAGTCTCATAAATAGGGCGGGAGGAGGTACATTCGTTAAATTGTGCAACTAATAAGAGCAATCGCCCGAACGTGTATGGTTAGAACTGGGGCAGTCCCTGTTTCAGCCGATTTTTTATGAGGCGTTTAGTACGCTTTCATCTTCTTTGTTTATGGAGGATGTTGAGAGCTACAAATACAATGATGTAAAACACAGTTTGACTTTATTTCTAATAACGGCTTTCTTCAGCATTCATTTTGAAATTATGCTCCCTTCCGTCTTTCATCGTTTTGTTTCTTTCAGTGTTTGCCTTGTTTCCTTTTTTGTACTTTAAAACTTGGAGGAATTACTATTAAGTTTAAGGAAGAGATTTAATTACCTAAAATGCTTTTATTGTACTTTAAACGCTTTTTATAATAATATACTAGAGGCATGTCTAGGAACATGTTTTAGTTCTTCCCGAAGCTTTGAAAAGGCTGTTATAAATAGGTCGGGACTAGTTATGGTGCCGGGGGGGGGGGGGGGGGCGGAGGTAGGGGCTAGGGAGGGAGGGAGTAACATCTGAGAAAGAAAAATTGTTTAGGGTGAAATTACGTTAGCCGTTTAAACATCCAAAGATCAATACTATTATACTAGCTCTTGCTCTTAGTATAATAGTTAAATAAATCATTTGAAAATATTAAAAAAATTAGTTAAGTTGGTTGTCTGTCACAAATATCCTCTTCAATCATATACATTGAATTATTAGAATTATCTCTTGATAAGAACCGGTTGCCATTAATATGGATATTTGGAAAAAGAAAGGAGATAAAGTGGATTGAAGTCTCATATTTAAGACAAAATCTAACTATCAACTAACTCGTTTATTAAAAATTGAAGGAAGTATTATATTCTAGCGCTGCCAAATGTATTTAGAGGTATGCCTCCTGAACTTTAAGTTTACCAACAAGTAATCATTTTGTACGCATAAAATTCTAACATAAGTTGAAATCTATGTCAACTTATTTCTATATTTTACATGCTAAAGTTTTATCATATGAGATCCTAATCCAAATATCAACATGACACCAGATAACACTTCAAGGCTGAAAACCCAATTTAAAAAAATTAAAAAAGATTCAGAAAAATATTTTTAACTACATGGTGATGATTTGTAGTAATGAAACAGACTGTTTTTTATTTGTGACCAATACAGCTTGCCATAGATATCGAAATTGAATTCTATATTGATAATTAGATATAGAGCTATACAATTTTCACATGAAAAATTATAAGAATTATTACTCCGCTCACTCCTGATTGTAGAAACTAATTATTAAGTTTGTTTTGATTCTATTTATAAGAGTAAGACATGATTCTCTCTTTTATCTATATCTTATTTATACATTACTATATCTTATTTTTAATATAAGAGCTAGATAACTGATTTTAGAATATTAAAAAAATTAATAACTAATATGTGTTGTTTTACTAAACCATTTTATGTAGTCATGTGTATTAGAATTACCTCATGTTGAAAACCTCTTACTATGTACAATCAATAAGTATATTTTAAAAAAAAAAGTTTGTGAATTTGGTGGATAAAATAGATTACAATTAAAATAATTTTTTTCCAACTCTTATATTTTTGACCGAAATTAGGTACCCCCCTCCCCCAACTACCATTATGTGCTGAAAAGTTTCAAGCTTTAAATGTCAACAGTCTGTCAACAGTCAGGGGATATTTTATGGAAATGACAACAAACTTTTGATAGATTAAATACAAGCAACAACCTTTACTTCTTTTCTTAATATGTGTGCACATGAGAGGCCTTTCAATGAGGACCCAGAGTAGTATCTGAGTTGGTAGAATCAATGGATAATATACATAGGATACGATATATAACTCTTTAAAAAATGAATTAAAATTATAATAAATTATAAGGACTATAATTTGACCGTACTTGTGTGCATTAAATGATATAGTTACTCTGCAGATGACCAAAGCGCTATATATATGTGTGTGCTAGGAGGACATGCTATGCCATAAGAGATTGTGATTTGAAAGATATGGCTTCGCAACCAGGCATACTTACAGATTGGCCATGGGAGCCTCTTGGGAGCTTTAAGGTTTTGCTATCTTATGCCTCTCCTATTAACTTTTTTTTTTCCCCCAGAAAAATTGCTGAAAAATCTCTCATCGCAAAATTCATTACTCAAAGATACCCAAAAATTTGGGTGTTTAAGCGAGTATAACTTTTGTTATGTCACTTATGTGCAATAAATCTTCATGTGTGTGCAAATGTATACATAGTTAAAGTTATGTTATACGTAATTGAAAAAGAATTATACCTGCTAAGGATAGAGATTGCACTTGAGCTTTTAAATAAATTTTAGATGCGTTTGAAAAATGAACTTTGCAATGGGAATATTTTCGGCAGTTTCTTTCTTTCTTTCTTTTTTTCACCCTATTCCTTTTTTCTCGTCCTTTCAGTTGTATTTAATTTTCTTAATAGTTAATATACTTGATCACTTAGCCTTGATTTGCGTTCAAAAAAGGAAAAAGTTGCTCCCTTCTTTTCAATTACGTGAATATATTCGCTGTGGTTGTCGTTGCTGCTGCTCTGTTTTCTTTTTTTGGCAACGTTGCGACTTTTTGCATTGATGATACTGTAACTCTTTCTTCCCCCCTAGCTTGCTAAAATTTTCCATCGTGATGTACTCTCTCAGCTCCTTATTATAAGAAACTTCTAGCTAACTAACATACTAATTCTAGTTTTTAATATAAAAAATAGTTAGAGATTAAATTTGATTCTAAATATAAAATTTTAATCAATTTTGTCTTTGGAATTTATAATATTTTCTCTAAAACATCCCTATAAGGAGTTCTTACTAAATGATAGTTTCAACACACAAGATTAGAAAATGTAAGACATTCGTTATAATTAACTAACTTAATTAATTTACGTAATCTTTTCAAATTATTTATTTAGCTCTTATCCTGAGAACTAGAGCAGGTAGTATGTTGAATGACAATGAAAAAAATGCTGACAAGTTTGCCCTTTTCTTGTTTCATCATAATGACGACGACGGACGATGATGGAAATTATTGAAGTACGTGTTACTGGCCCCATGGGTGGTTCAGACCATCATTTACTGTGTGACAGCGTCGCATGAGAGAGACCTCGCTTACTGTCTCGTACTTCCAATGTTAATGGCGAGGTTGGTTCACAACCAGATCTGGATATCTGTTTCTCGCCATCGATCAGCTCAGGGCAAAAGCAGGATCATTGATAGAGGCCTTGAATTCTCACAAGTTGACAGAGAAAGCAACTGGTTCGTTCCTATAAAAAAACTACTCATGATGTTACAATTTTTCATAAATTAAAGTTGAAATACTATTCTTGTGTTTAATATAAAGGCTAAATAACTAATTTGAGAATATTAAAAAAATTAGTTAAATTCGTTATTTGTTATAAATATATATTGATCTTCTTAAACCATCCTTTTCAGTCATTTGCATTGGATGATTAGAATTATCAATTATCCTTTGATGGGAATCCCTTACAATCAACAATCAATAAAGATATTTTGAAAACAGATGAGAGATAAAATAGAATAAGATTTTATATTTATGACCAAATCTAATTCCTATCTAGCTCTTATATTAACGACTAGAGCTAGTATATTCTAATACATTTTATTTAGTTTTAGAAAATAAAATTAGCTGTATTGTAATCTTTGAATAAGTGCATCTTGCTATATACATTAATATTTTATTTTGTTGGTTGTGGAGATTCTTGTACAGTTGTACATAACTTCCTTAATTTTTCGAAAATTACATAATTTTTTTTTAAGAATTATACATGTCTAATCCCCCGTCCCAAAAAAAATGCAGGAACCTCTGCTCAATCAAATAAAGTCTGAACTCCACAAAGCTACCATAAGTTTAAACCACACAATTCTCCGTTGAAGTAGCTTGAGGGAAAAAAAAAAGGGTCTATGTAATTTTAGAACAACTTATTAGATATCTGTATAATTTATTATTTTTAAGGAATGCTTGTGCATATTCTTAAAAAGGTAAGTTTATGTCATTTGCCAAAGCTGAAGGGATGAACAAGGTCTGCGTACGTATGTTTAAAAATAAATACTCCTCCAGTCCTTATTATAAGATCCCATTTGACTTTTTATTTGGTCCTAATTATAAGACCCCAATCCATTTTGTCTCTTATATTTATGTATTTTTTTCCAAGATAATCCTTCTAATAATGATAATTTTAGCCAATATACTTAATTAGCAAAGATATTTTAGGAATGACAACACTTATTTATTATAAATAACCAACTTAACTTACTTCTTTAATCTCCTCAAATAAGTCAATTGGGTCTTATAATTAAGACCTGAGGAGTAGATAAAAAGGTCCACTTAATTTTAGGTTTTAACAAAGCTAAGCAGAGCATACATTAACGATTTCTATCTTTGAAACTGTCCCATTGGAGGTGAGATTCAAATTTATGACCAAATTATGATATCAAAAAAACTTAGTTGTGCACTTATTTAGTCGTACAACCTTTACACTGTTAACAAAAAGTACTCAACATTAAACTTTTAAATATTGATAAAACATTTTCAAATCTTGATGTGTTAAGTTTAATTTGAAAATAACAATAATCGGCGCAAAAAATCATCAGTTGAGACTAATGGTATTAGGGTTAAAAGACTGAAAAGTTACATCATAAAATTAACCAAGTTAAAATCTTGTATAGAATCAAAAGACAAAAATAATAATTTTGCAGTTATAGTTATTCATTATTTTTTTCCCGTTTTAAATGCACCCTCTGCATTCATGTGTGAATAGGATCCATATAATTAAAAATTAAGAATCAATGATATCTCTAAAACTACAAATAGTCAAGTTAAAAGTATTGATCTAGCCTTCGTTTGGAATGTATGATATATGCAGGGATGACTATATTTTGTTGACTGGACATATCACGTACTTAGCATATATGATACTTCCTGAGGTTGCCAATCATTTACCCGTATGGAGAGCAGATGGTGTGGTTCTCGTAGCTTTATTACATGCCGGTCCTGTGGAGTTTCTTTATTATTGGTTTCACAGAGCACTTCATCACCATTTTCTTTATTCTCGCTACCATTCTCACCATCATTCTTCCATAGTCACCCAGCCTATTACTGGTATCATATATACTCGTCATTCATAGTTTTTCTCATTTTCTTTTTCATTTATGTTATGTTGTTGGGGTAGAGTTGATATTTGTTCTGGATTGATCAATAATTTATTAGGAGAATGACAATTGGTTTCAAAATATCGATTTGATGATAATAAAATCAGTGCCAAGTTAACCTAGTGGCAGTGTCGCTATGCTTAGATAAGGTCTTAGATTCATTGACATGTTTGTGTGTGCGTACTTATTCAATTGTAAATAATGAAAAATAGTTAAGTCTAAAAAAGTTTGCTGTAGGATGATACTCCCTCTAGCCTAAACATAAGAGTTAGTAGAAGAGTTTATTTTACTTCTAACTGGAAATGTGAGATTTCAATTCACTTTGCCTTCAAAAATTATAAATTTTTTTTCCTAAACTCATTGACTTCACATATGAAGAGGGTTTTTATAAATGAATAATTTTCAGTGCAAATGATTAAACACATTTTTAACAAATAATAAACTTAATTAATTTTCTTAATTTTTATAAATTAGTTATGTAGGTCCTGTATTAGACTCTGGAGGAAATATCTAAATACGTAGATAGTTACAAATACAAATGTCTCATTTGCAAATCAAATGATTAATTTTCATAAGTCAGTCCCAATCATTTTCAACTGAGTTTATCTAAAGTTGTATGAATTGATATTTGCAATTCATCTTTCCCCAAGATTTTCTTAGACGTCCGCCATCATCAAATTAATTTGAGACATGAGTGTACATTCGCTCTATTTCTTATTTATTATTTCTTTTACATATTGATGTTATTACTGCTATTATTTTACAGCTGTTGCTCATCCATTTGCTGAGGTCTTGGCATATGTTGCTCTATTCGCTATACCACAATTTGCAACATTGTTCACAAAGACTGCCTCCATTGCTTCTGTTTATGGTTACTTGTTTTATATCGATTTCATGAACAATTTGGGTCACTGCAACTTTGAGTTCTTTCCAAAGAAGCTCTTCTCTCTCTTCCCCTTTCTGAAGTATCTCGCCTACACTCCATCGTAAGTCTCTTCAATTCCTTCATTATTAGAGCATGTTAAGTCCCACATCTACTAATTAAAACATAAGGTATGATATCCCACTATCACTACAACCTACCAAGAATAGGAACTGCGCTTCAATTCAATACTTCAAGTCTATGAGAAAATTAAATACAAAGAGATCTCAAGGAATTCAATTTTTTTTATATTACTTCCAATTTCTTAATGTAATTAAGAGCTATTTATTTAATATGAGTAGATTAGAGAAGCTAAATAAATTATTTAATTCTAGTAAATATTGCATGATTTCTTAGAATATTCTCGTATAAGGTCAAATTATACATTAGTTTATAAGTTAGATAAATTAATTTTTAAAAAATAATAAATATGAGAGACAAAATTGATTAAGATTCTAGGACCAAAACCAACTCTCCAACCAACCCTTACAGATAGGATTAGATGAGTAACTTTTATAAGTACAGCTTGTAAAATGATATATCCCGCCAAGTAAAATATGAAAGCTTGACTTGTAAACATAAGTTGTTGAATTTGACTTGTAAATACAAAGGTTTGGCTAATAAATGTGAATTTTTTAGAACCTTTTTCTACTATTTAATTTTCTTAATTGGCACTTATGATTATGCAATTATCATAGTGAATCAAGAATTGAATAGTCATTCAATCAACAGCAAGAAACTCAAGGCCGATTTGTGGACTACAGGTTTCACTCACTGCATCACACCAAATTCAGGACAAATTACTCTCTTTTCATGCCAATATATGACTACATTTATGGAACCGTGGATGACTCCACAGATGAAACTTATGAAATGTCTTTGAAGAGACCAAAGGACTCACCCGATGTGGTTCACTTAACCCACCTAACAACACCATACTCTATCTATCATCTTCCTTTAGGCTTCGCTTCCTTAGCCTCCAACCCTCAAACGGCAAAATGGTATCTTCGTTTCATGTGGCCCTTCACTTTTGGTTTCATAGCAACGGGTTGGATCTTTGGTCGAACATTTGTTTCAGAAAGGAACACTTTCAGCAAGCTTAATTTGCAGTCATGGGTCGTTCCACGATTCACAAAACAAGTAAGAATTTTTCATATGGAAAACTAATTTAGAGGTACTTATAGTTTACTTGAGTTTTGAATCAGGTCCCTAAATTTGGTTTTCTTTTTATTGGGATTAGAGCTGTTAGTCCCTGCTGTTTAAATCTGTTAAGTAAGTATTGACATCATTGGGAATTTCCATTAAAAGGCACGGCCCACTCAATAATAAAAAACCATGTCTAAAAGAATCCCCTGCTCTTCCTATTTGCATCTTCTTCCACTGTAAAAAGCTCTCCTCTCTCATTTTGCTCATTCCTCCTCTTCTCCCTCATTCTCTTAGCCTATAAATGGCTCACAATTTCTTCTCATCTCACCATAACACCTCCCTGTGGTCACGTCTCCTTCTCCATCCAAGTTGAGGCCATTTGAAGCTTCTTTTAATGAATGAGAATTATTTTGCAGTTTTAATGGACGCAACCTCATGAAGTTTATTGGAGGTCCTTTAAACAAACCGAATATTATTGTCATAGGAAAGCACAAAATAGGACCCAAGATCTTGGCCATGCCATGTAGATGCTTCACAGAATGTTTAAGCACAAAAGTAAAGATGCATCGGTTCTGGGCAACTTTGTGATGCTTTCGAAAATTAAGGTAATGATGTTCAAATGGCCAAAAGTTGTTTGCAACCAAGAAAACAACACTTCTATTTTTATTCAAGCTCTTGTTTTAGTAATAGAAAAAAGAGAGATCAAGGAAGCAAGCAAACAACTTCCCCACAGGTAAACTAGACTAAATCCTCAGCAAGGTTTGAGTCATTGCCAAGTCAACCACAATAACCTTGTCCGGTTACTTGGTTGTTGTGTCAAACTAGACTGCCAATCCCTTCTCTTCTATGAATTTATCTCCAGCTACAGTTTCACAATAGCGTTGGACAAAGCCTTGAAGGAATTGTAGCTTGACTACCTATTTCACTATCCAATATGCTTTCTCATTTGATCTATCGGTCAAGAACGGTAGGGTAGATGTTGATGAGTGAGCAAAAAGAGAGAGGAGAGCTTGGTCCTGAGGTTGCGGTGAGAGGAGACGATGCTAACCGGAAGAGAAGATGATGTCTTTGGATGTGGCAACCAAGTGGGCAGTGCTTTTTAACAAAAATTCTTAACAGTGTTAATACTTATTGATAGAATTAAACTGCAGGGATTAACACTCTAACGTTGAAAATTAAAGGACCAATAAAAAGGAAATAAAATTCAAGGACTGATTCAAAACTGAGGTAAATTATAAGGACCTCCAGATTAATTTTTCCTTTTCCATGTTAATTATGATCTATTGCTTAATTGTAGCTCAATCTAGGAATGGTTCAGATTGTCAAGGCATTTTTATTATTTTAAAGAACTATAGATTTAGCTATGATAGCTGTGGGTTGCAGAATTTATCTAGTCCGAGCGGTTCTGCATTGTCTTCAATCTGTTCTTTATTTTCTTAACTCCTAGAATAGACTATGGGAATCTTTATTTTCTGAATGCCTGTCCTTTACTTTCTGACCTTGTAACTTGAACTCCTTGTTTTTGAATGCATTGTGACTTTTTATCAAAAAGGAAAGAATTGTCTTTTGCTCAAGAAACTCTAAAGAATCTAAAGTAATGAGGCAATCACACTTACATGAAAATGATGACTAAGACCTTAGACAAAATTGAAATTTTTTAGTCCCTCCAATATTAAATATAAAAGCCAATGCAAATATTTGTTTTGGTTTTAAATATAAGATTTAAATTTATCTTGTCTTCCAAATCTATAATTTTTTCTCAAAATTCTCTCTATTGGTTTCAAATATTAATTAAAGAAGTTTTCAATCATAAATTAAAAAAAAATCTAATGCAATTTATTAAAAGGTACGCTTTAGAAAAACCAACACATATTTTTTTACAAATAACTAAATAATTTTCTTAATCTTCCATATTTGTTATCTATTTAACTCTTACATTTAGGATAAGAAGGAATATAATATGTGGAATCCAGGACCTATCATCGATGTTCTAATTGTGTGTTATGCAGTATTTGAAAGGACAAAGCACATCAGTGAACAAATTAATTGAAGAGGCAATATTAGAGGCTGAATTATCTGGAGCTAAAGTTTTGAGTCTTGGGCTTCTTAATCAGGTAATTAGAAATAAAAAATATTACAGAAACCTTCACATATATAGGTCTTTTATAATGCAAAAACATATATAAATTGGCAGCAAGAAGAATTGAATGGATATGGGCAACTCTACATCCATAAGTTTCCAGAGTTGAAGATAAAAGTTATAGATGGAAGTAGTCTAGCTGCAGCAATTGTAGTGAACAGCATTCCCAAGAGCACCAGTCAAGTGCTTCTGCGAGGCAAATTTAATAAGGTTTCTCTGGCTATATCCAATGCTCTCACCAAAAGAAATGTTCAGGTAATTACTTTTATGCACTTGTGCAGAATAAGGGCAATGCAATTACATAAATAAGGTTTTCAATGCACTCGTTTTATAAAATCCTGTTCTTTTTATTTATACTTAGCTTACTGTAAAACTACATTTTTATAATAAAGGGTGAGGTAGCATCTAGCACCCTGATATTCTTTTCTGGGTGCATGTAACATCCTAAACTTATGGTGTGTCTAACACCCTAATGCTTCTCTTATATTACGTTAATCACAATTAAAATGCTGTTTTTGAAGAAAAATCTTGCCGCTGTTTTAAATTAAACTAGCACTCAAAATTTGAGTCACAAACCCAAATTTCGGGGGTGGTATAAGTTTGATTCTGTTTAAATTTTGGGAAGAATTCTGTAAGCACAGAGAAAAGTGGCTGGGAAAATTTAAGTTAACAATTTTCTTAATTTTTGTGTGTGAAAGTAATAGAATTTTCAAGAAAATTTACTTTTTCAAGTTGCTTGTAACTACAAGCAGTTAGCTGTATTAAACAAGGATGAGATGACGAAGCTACATTCAAGACTCAAGGCCAAAGTAGATCTTGCTCTCACCGCTACCTCTGATGCCAAGGTAAATATTGTTAAGAATCAAATGACTTTCTTTATCCCCATATTTCTCTCATATGGACCGTTTATTCAGTTATATTGTATAAGTCCGTGAATTTGTTTTACTTATTTATTAGAGAGATGAGTAATACTAACTTGAAGTTACAGGTAGGATCAAACCTATGGCTTCTTAAAGGAGCTCTTAAATCATTAGGCTATATAAGGCCATTAACAATCTATACACATGTTTAAAAAACTCATTTTGCTCCATCAAACGATTTATAAGCCGTACCAGAAAAACATTATGGTGGGAGCAGCGAAAGCAGCAAGCTAATGAAATAGTTGTGTTTAAAAACGTGACAATGTTGTCTCAACTCGTTAACAAAGTTATTTTTGATCATTAAAATTACCTAAGCAGGCCACCTCAACATAAATAAGTCAACAAATGGTTAAAATTAACTGTTAACGGGTTAGAGTACTATTGCCATGTTTTTCAATTTTTTGGATAACATTGAATCTAAAAAAACTTTTGGGGCAACTTTGCTTTTGAGTGAAAATATAAAGGTAAAATTAGACCTTCCTCCTTAATAAAATTAAAGGGTTGAATTGAAGCTTAGTGTACAATTAAGTGTTTAAATATATACTTTTGTTTTTTGAAGATATGGTTGGTAGGAGATGGATGGGATGAAAATGAACAGATGAGAGCAGCAAAAGGATCAATTTTCATACCATTTTCTCAATTCCCTCCAAAGAAAATGCGAAAAGATTGCTTCTACCACTATACTCCTGCCATGATAGCTCCTTCCTCATTCACCAATACGCATTCTTGTGAGGTTAGTACTACATATAGTTACCATAGGTTTTCTAAATTTTTAATTAGATCAATATAAATTGAAATAGAATGAATGTTCTAAAAATAGATGGAAGGTCTATATAATGTTAGCAAAAATTTAAATAAGCCCAAATAATGTATTATATTCCATTCATGAAAGCCATCATTTAATTTCAAATTGCTTCAATCTTTCACTTCCAAATCACAGAACTGGCTGCCAAGGAGAGCAATGGGTGCTTGGCGAATAGCAGGAATAGTGCATGCCTTGGAAGGATGGAACGTACACGAGTTTGGTTCTACCACTTTCAATATCACTCAAATATGGCATGCAACCATTCGTCATGGTTTCCAACCTTTGGAATTGGACACTCCCTTTTAATTTGATCATTCCCATGAATCTAGATATGCATGAATTAAATAAATTTTAAGTTGCTTTATATTGTTATAAGGACCTTAGTGAGTTTCTTAGTTATGAAGCTTGTACTAATTAGCATATATGTAATGCAGTTGTATAATGAACTATTGCTTTGGTTGCTAGTGGTGTGGCAACCGGCAGTAGTATGTGAGGTCCATGGCAATCTGTGGGTTTTGTTTTTTTTTCTTTCTATTATTTATTATTTAATTGGATCCCCATTTCGGGTTTTAGGGTTTTTTTTATGGGTTGGATTTGTTTGTGTTGACTATTTCATGTCGATTTGTAAGGGTTCATCTATCTGCTATCTTGTTTTAATAAAACTAGCTTTCTTTTGGCTAAAAGATAAAAAAAAAAAAAAAAAAAAAGGGGCTGGTCTCTCCCTCCCCCTTTATACACGGACACACATCATTATCTGCGATCTTAATTCGTTTTGTAATTTTAAGGATGAGGTTAATATGCAAATTTGTCCTGTAAATTTTTACTCAAGAGTGTTAGGAACTCATAAATTTTTCTTATACAAATTTACTCCGAAAGTTTAAAATCATACTAATATTGCTCTTTACGGTTAGAAATTTAACGTTGACGCTAAAATAGTGAATTAGCTATTAATATTTTTAATAATAAAAGGCAATATTATTATGATTTTACACTTCTAATGCAAATTTGCACTCCAAAAAACTTCGAGTGCTCAGTGTTTCTTAATCAAAAATTTTGAGACAAATTTATACCTTAACCCCTTTAAGGATGTCAACCTCATAAGTATGATTACATTTTTCATATTATTCTCTTCTTCTAAATATATAAAGATGGATAAATATGGTGAATATATAATTTATGAATATTTTAGATGTAAAAATGCTCTTTAATATGTGGAGTTGATAGTCAACGTCCGCAGCTTTGACATTTGAAAGGTGATATCACCCTAATTACTATATTAATGTTTTTATCCAAAATTCAATAAATGTTGGAATTTATATTGCTATAAATATTAATATATTAGGAACATGTAAATGCCTTCAAACTAATTTATCTGGTTGCATAACCGATGGCATAAATGTGCACCGATGGAATAAATGATAGCACAAATATACAGTCATACGTATTGCAATATTTGTCGAGTAATTTTGTTTACTGATGTTCATGCTTTCTATTATGATTATTTATTTTTTATATATAATTATTCAAAATCTGATAATATTAGATTAGATTTAGGCATATATAATGAAGTCTAATTAGTGTCTAACTCTCTGAACTCAAGAAAAGTGGAATCCGTTCCACTCCTTACAGCCGCTGCTGATTCTAATATGATATACTCTCACCAATTTTTAATCTATGTATAAAAACCACTTAATTAATCTGACAGATTAATAAAATTAGATAAATTAGTTAATTAATCTCCTTAAAACAATCCAATGTATTGAAACATATCATTTTACAATTAAGTTAGGTACATTAGTTTGAAAAATTAAAAATAACAAATACAGTAGATAAAGTGATTTGAGACATCAAATTTAACACCTCAACTAACTCCTATGTTAAGAAGCCCGGGGGAGTATTGTTCTTTATTATTATGATATTTCAAGATCAGGTGGGCATCAAAGGTGATAATTAAGGATGCGATGAAGTTTCTTCGTCCTTCTCATAATATCTAGAAACCATCATTATCAAGATCACATCTAAAATTGTTTCGCGTTTTGTGGTAGACGAGGACAAAAAAAAAAAACTACTACCACGTCCCAAAAACATGCATATAAAATATTGATAGAACACAGCAACAAGGTAATAAAACAAAAGTTTGAAATGAGATGCATAACCTCTTATTTTAAATCCAAGAGCTAATTTGTAACTGCAAATTAGCTTTTATATTTAAGACCGGAGGTAGTAATAAAAGCTGACTAAAGCTGATCATAATTTTAGGATCCAAAACTATGTTACCGTTTTGGCCAAATCGAACATTAACTTCAGTAAATAGAAGTGGAGCTTCAACACGAGAGACATTATTTTTTTTAAAAAGACACTCGTGAAACAAGAACACACTAGTGAAAAAAAGTTTATTTTTTGAATTTCTCAATCGATATCGAATGCTAACAGAAACTGACTGGCTAGGTCGGTTGGTGGCAATGCAAGCCCGCAATGAGAGAACTTCGTTACCATCGAGTAATTATCATGGCTGCATATCCAGAGAGCTCGAGACCACTGACTAAGTTAAAATTACTGACCCATAGTGCAAGCATGGTACTGATGAAATTCTGAGCGTGTATTTGACAGCGCGTTTGGAACGGAGAATGTGCATTAAAAAAGGGGAAATGTGCTTTCGTGGCTAGTGTGGGCTTGAACAATTATTTGGGTTAACTTTTTGTCCAATTGACTTTTGGGGAAAAAGTTCATTCGAGGCAAAAGCCAATCAGAGTAACTTGTAAGGGTGAAAACGCAGATAGAAAAAAAAAATAACAACAGAAAAAGAGCAAATTACTCCAATAAATCTCATAATGAAGATGAGAAGAAAGATAAGAAAATTTAAGTGGGTCCTATCTGGACCCAATAATTTGATTTTTTTTTTAAGAACAAAATTAACTAATAAAATTTAATTAATTTAATTAATTATTTTTCTATGGTTTATCAAATTGTATATATATGATATATTTCCTTTGCTTCTAAATATAAGACCCCAATAGACTAATTTAAACAAATTAAATAAATTACTTAATTATATTATATGTTACATGATCTTTCTAAAATACTTATGTATATCCTTAATTTTTTCAAATTAATTAACTGAGTTTTATATAAAAACTCATGTCATTTTTAGTCATTTTACATCTAAACTTACTTTTTTATTATCCATCCAAATAAGTTTCACCTTTTCAAAATGACATTTTATAAACGTTGACAAACTCAATTATTTTTATATATTTTGGTATCTTTTATATGGGTTTTGTCAACTTAATTGGTCTCTTTTTGCCTTAATTGATTGTTCTTTGATTTAATTTATTTTATTTTGAATTATTATTTTATAAGGGCAAAATTGTCATATTTTGGTTTAATTGTGACTAATTAATTTTTGAGGACAATTAATACTACCTTATTCTTGAATTTTGTTTGCAGGTTTTTAGAAGATTTAAAAAAATTAAAATTAAAATTAAAAAAAAAAGAAGAAAGAAAAAAATATAATAAAAAAAATAATTAAAAAAACTAATAACCTATTATTGTCACCAAAGAGGAGGAGGCGGACACACACATGCTGGCGGCGAAAAAAAGAAGGGCGAACAGGGAGCAACGCGAAGAGAGGCACGCGACGGCGAAATAAAAGACAGAACAGAGCTGGGCGGCTGGAGAAACAGAGGAGCGAGCGGAATCACAGTCCGACATTCTCTCCGTTCACCACCACCATCATCGTCATCTTCTTGCTGGTGGCAGCGTAGAGCGACGGGAGGAGTGAGAGAGTGAGGACCGGAGGTGTTGACGGCGTGAGCTCAACAGAAGTCACTGTGTTCTTCAATCCCATTCGTCCGACTCCATTTCTTCACTTCCATCAACTCGAAATCATCCATCTCCTCTTCTATCAACCCAATCCATATACACCATCACCACCGTCTTCTCCTTGCCGGCGCACAGAACCAGTGAGGACCACTATTCCGTCATCTCCTCCATGGCAGACCGCAACAGAGCTTTGATTACAGCAATTTTGATGGCAAACCGTGGCTAGAGTTTCATGATCTTCCAATTCAACAACAATGGCAGGAGCTTGGATCTTTAAAAGGGAGTTTTAGTTGCTTTAATTGTTTAACAATTCCTAAGTCTTTGGATAGTTTTTCTGATTGTTGGAATAATTGTATTGCTTAATCTGATTATATTTAGAGATTATTGTGACTGGATTATTACTTAGCATTTGACATTGGACTATTTATAACTTTAATTTCAATTATAATGTTGTGGTTATGACATTTGTATTGATTTTGGAGTTAATATATTGTGATTTTTTAAGGTGGCTTAGAATTTTGGATCATGTTGTCTTTAGCTAACTTTAATTCTGTTGTTTTGGATTTAAGAGTTCTAATTAAGCATTGGTTTTTAGTATTCTTAATCCCATTTTATTATTCTGGTTGCAGTTCGTAAATTGGGATTTTAGGAAAATATTTTGTGACAATTCGAGGTGGCTTGGTTGTTGGATTAAAAGTTTAATTATAATTCTAAATTCATTGTTTTAACTCTCGTATCTTTTGGAGTGAGGATTGCCTGTATTGTTGAATTGGAGGATTGATTGTTATCATTGTTATTTGTATGTTTCATTTTCATTTCTTTAATCTCCATTCATTTTAATCATTTTTATATAAAAACAAAAAAAAGTATTTTAATTTCAATTTGATTCATAGTATTTAATTAGCAGTTTTTCAAAATCAAAAATCCTTTTTATAGTTTAGGTTACTTGTATTTATTTATTAGGATTTAATTTCGTTTCCGGCTCCTCAAAGTGAATACGACCCAGATTGTGTACTATATTGTAATAATTCGGTTAATTTTTGGAGTAACCCCAAAGTGACAAATTAAGGGCAGTTAACTTCAAACGTCAATCTAAACATAAATCACGTTATATTAACTGACTTTTACCCTAACTCGAGTTTGCAAAGTCAGTTAGAATATGTTACATCTCATTTATTACCTCATTATAAGTCAATTGGAACCATTAGAATGTGTTTCGCAATGTTTCCGGATAAAAATTTTAGTTTCAAAATTTCACCTTTAATTCTGTCCGTACACTGTTCGCTTGAATTTGGGCTAACTTTAAAAATTTATAACTAATTCTAGAAAAATTGAAACGAGGTGATTTCAATTTTCACATGAAGGTTGCTAAGAGTTCTATAGAGGAAAAATATTTATAGACTCAATTCCATCCAAAACAGTACTAGAAAATTCGACAAGACGGACTGTTCATATGATAAATTTTTGAATTTTCAGTATTTTAGCCCAAATTTGTAAGGGCATAATTCTTAGCACACAACTCCAAATTTAATGGTT